ATATATCACTTTAAGGGCTACACTTTATATAGGAAATTATGGAATTTTCTGCACAAACATTTTTGTGTCAAGCACAAACTTGCCATCCACAGCAAGGCAAGTGCAATCTACAAATCCTAGAGCTACATCTGCAGGGTTCTACAGATTTTGTGCACCTGGAGGCGTTTGCATAGGGAGCGCAGATCTTCACTGTTTAACGCATCGATCCGGCGGTGGTACTCAGTCCATGACACTACCTGCTCCAGAGACAAGGGGACACAACCACACCGCTGAGCAGGAGACAGGATGAGGCCAAAATATGGACAAGAATGTGCAGTTTGGGACTCTTTTAATACAAGATGTTAACTACTAAAATTGCAGCCAGGAATGATTGTCTTTATGAGATATGGAAGAGATGAGTATAAGATTGAAAGCCTAGATCATGTCTTTATATATGTGAAGCTATAGTACAAATGTGAGCAGACAACACAGCGCGTGTTTTGCATGATTGTGTGAATTGTTTTGCACGAAGCTCTGCAGACAGATATGAGAACCATATTCATAATAGCTAACATAAGCCATAGCAGAGCCACATAGAAATCACACTCAACTAAAAAAACTAAATATTCTGCTATTATTTACTCACCCTCATGTTCAACATCATCCATCTTACCACTTTAATAAAATCAAACTTCACATCTTAGTCATTATGCAAGAAAACTACCTTCAGCTGCATTTGACATTTTTACTGCATTGATTCTTATGTAAATATCAGTCCTTACCTGTCACACATATTTTAACTGTGTTGGTTGCCACACCTATGTGACATGTTTGATAACACATTAAACACATGACCTACTACCACATGAAAACATAGTTCACCAAAAACTAAACTTTTGTCATAATTTACCCATGCTAGCACAAGTTCGTACTCAACCTGTATGTCTTTCTTCTATGTAAAGATTCATTTCTGACGAATACCCAAGCCAACTCTTTTCAGTGTAATGAAAGTGAATGGACACTAGGGCTGTCAAGTTTCAAAGTGACAAAAAGTACAACAAAAGTATTATGAACAATACAATACAGTAAAAGTCTTCTGAAGCCATACTTTAACGTAATAACCATAAGTCCTTATTAAATAAAATTTAAACATTATTGAGTTGAAATCGTTCACAGATCAGACTTGTTTTGTGAAATAGAACAACCGATTCATTGAAAAGATCCGAGTCACAAGAATGAATCACTCAAGAATCAGACACTAGAGCGGATTTTTTTTTAAATCTTAATTTTTTGTCTGTTCCCCACACAAATTTATCGTATGGCTTCATACGTTGTGTCTAGCTTTTTTGCGTCCGTTTTTAAGCTTATGTCCAGTTACTATTTATCTTCATTATATAGAGAAACAGCGACTAGGACGTTCACTTAACATGTTCTCTTTCGTGTTTCACGCGAGAAGGTGAGTCATACGGGTTTGGAATTTGCAATGTCATGACGGAGAGTAAATGACGACTTTTATATATTTAATTATTGTTTATTAATTTTTTTTTGGCAAACTATCCCTTTAAAGTCCTGCAACAACACTGACTTGTCGACAGTAAAAGGGAAATGACCGAGACAGCGGTCATTCTACTCCATGACGGTAAATAAAAGTTTTAGCCGACAAGTTGCCACTTTACAGCCCTCAATAATGTACAAGGAGGAAGGTAAACTAGAGCATTCATAAAAAATGCATATCGTCTCAGGTGAGACATTCACTGATTCACACACACACACACAAGCTCCAGCATCACAGATCAACAGCAATAGCATCAGCAAACTTTCATGTCTCACTTTTACTTCAAAAGCAGCAACACAAACCCATCAGACAGCCAGTGTCAATCAACACAGCCAGATATTATACGCTAATATTTCAACAGCCCGCTCACATACGCTTCAGCGAACGCATTCACTCAACACTTGTGTTTACATACATAAGTGTACTTAGGAGTCAGAGGTTTTCCTTCCTTCACCCGCTTGGAGAACATAATATCACTGCCTGTCACATTCAGACTTCTTTCCGCCGACCGACAACATGCCATATTCAGACATAAACACAACGGCAAGATACTGACAGACACCTACGTGAGCCAATGACATCGGACCAAATGGAAGAACTCGGCCTCTGATTGGCTCTGTTACAATACGCCCCACCTCATGTACGGAATGCTTTAGCGCTTTTAAAGGAACAATCGCACCTAAACGCGACCTCTAAATAGTTTGATCAACAATGCTTGCGAATGAGTCAAATGATTGAGGTTATAACGCGGAGGGATCAAAACGGACACTATGAAATTCAAGGCTGTCGATGAAGACTCGTTCAGAGTTAAATACACGCATGTTCTTTATCTGGACTAAACATGCTTGTACTATTAAACTGCTTTTTGAGAGTAGAACAACCAAACTCCAACACTCTGGCCATGTTTCAAATGTCACTAACCATGAGCACTAAATAACCTAGTGAGCTGCCTACCTAGACAGCATTTTTGGGCATGATGCCCACAATGTTCTCTAGGTAGGCTGTTCACTGTTTTGAGAAACAACAAAGTAGCAAACTTGAGGCAATATAATACCAGATGTCTGATCACATTTTTCAATACTCATAGTAAGTAAATTCATTCAGTACATGCTTTAGTTCAAAGTGACTTAACCGGGAGTAACCAGGGAAACTGTACCCAGATAGCACACGTCCGTCTGCAAGATGTCTGTTAAAGATCGCTTCATCTGGAAAGCATCTGCTGTGTACAAACATCTGATAGACGTCTCTAAGATGTCAGTTTTACATACATTCTAAATCATAAACATCTTTAAGACATTTTCTAAATGTCTATTTGACATCTGATAGGAAACGTCCACTGTTTAACGCATCGATCCGGCGGTGGTACTCAGTCCATGACACTACCTGCTCCAGAGACAAGGGGACACAACCACACCGCTGAGCAGGAGACAGGATGAGGCCAAAATATGGACAAGAATGTGCAGTTTGGGACTCTTTTAATACAAGATGTTAACTACTAAAATTGCAGCCAGGAATGATTGTCTTTATGAGATATGGAAGAGATGAGTATAAGATTGAAAGCCTAGATCATGTCATTATATATGTGAAGCTATAGTACAAATGTGAGCAGACAACACAGCGCGTGTTTTGCATGATTGTGTGAATTGTTTTGCACGAAGCTCTGCAGACAGATATGAGAACCATATTCATAATAGCTAACATAAGCCATAGCAGAGCCACATAGACATTTTTACTGCATTGATTCTTATGTAAATATCAGTCCTTACCTGTCACACATATTTTAACAGCGTGTTGGTTGCCACACCTATGTGACATGTTTGATAACACATTAAACACATGACCTACTACCACATGAAAACATAGTTCACCAAAAACTAAACTTTTGTCATAATTTACCCATGCTAGCACAAGTTCGTACTCAACCTGTATGTCTTTCTTCTATGTAAAGATTCATTTCTGACGAATACCCAAGCCAACTCTTTTCAGTGTAATGAAAGTGAATGGACACTAGGGCTGTCAAGTTTCAAAGTGACAAAAAGTACAACAAAAGTATTATGAACAATACAATACAGTAAAAGTCTTCTGAAGCCATACTTTAACGTAATAACCATAAGTCCTTATTAAATAAAATTTAAACATTATTGAGTTGAAATCGTTCACAGATCAGACTTGTTTTGTGAAATAGAACAACCGATTCATTGAAAAGATCCGAGTCACAAGAATGAATCACTCAAGAATCACACACTAGAGCAGATTTTTTTTTAAATCTGAATTTTTTGTCTGTTCCCCACACAAATTTATCGTATGGCTTCATACGTTGTGTCTAGCTTTTTTGCGTCCGTTTTTAAGCTTATGTCCAGTTACTATTTATCTTCATTATATAGAGAAACAGCGACTAGGACGTTCACTTAACATGTTCTCTTTCGTGTTTCACGCGAGAAGGTGAGTCATACAGGTTTGGAATTTGCAATGTCATGACGGAGAGTAAATGACGACTTTTATATATTTAATTATTGTTTATTAATTTTTTTTTGGCAAACTATCCCTTTAAAGTCCTGCAACAACACTGACTTGTCGACAGTAAAAGGGAAATGACCGAGACAGCGGTCATTCTACTCCATGACGGTAAATAAAAGTTTTAGCCGACAAGTTGCCACTTTACAGCCCTCAATAATGTACAAGGAGGAAGGTAAACTAGAGCATTCATAAAAAATGCATATCGTCTCAGGTGAGACATTCACCGATTCACACACACACACACACAAGCTCCAGCATCACAGATCAACAGCAATAGCATCAGCAAACTTTCATGTCTCACTTTTACTTCAAAAGCAGCAACACAAACCCATCAGACAGCCAGTGTCAATCAACACAGCCAGATATTATATATAAATATTTCAACAGCCCGCTCACATACGCTTCAGCGAACGCATTCACATGACGGTAAATAAAAGTTTTAGCCGACAAGTTGCCACTTTACAGCCCTCAATAATGTACAAGGAGGAAGGTAAACTAGAGCATTCATAAAAAATGCATATCGTCTCAGGTGAGACATTCACTGATTCACACACACACACACAAGCTCCAGCATCACAGATCAACAGCAATAGCATCAGCAAACTTTCATGTCTCACTTTTACTTCAAAAGCAGCAACACAAACCCATCAGACAGCCAGTGTCAATCAACACAGCCAGATATTATACGCTAATATTTCAACAGCCCGCTCACATACGCTTCAGCGAACGCATTCACTCAACACTTGTGTTTACATACATAAGTGTACTTAGGAGTCAGAGGTTTTCCTTCCTTCACCCGCTTGGAGAACATAATATCACTGCCTGTCACATTCAGACTTCTTTCCGCCGACCGACAACATGCCATATTCAGACATAAACACAACGGCAAGATACTGACAGACACCTACGTGAGCCAATGACATCGGACCAAATGGAAGAACTCGGCCTCTGATTGGCTCTGTTACAATACGCCCCACCTCATGTACGGAATGCTTTAGCGCTTTTAAAGGAACAATCGCACCTAAACGCGACCTCTAAATAGTTTGATCAACAATGCTTGCGAATGAGTCAAATGATTGAGGTTATAACGCGGAGGGATCAAAACGGACACTATGAAATTCAAGGCTGTCGATGAAGACTCGTTCAGAGTTAAATACACGCATGTTCTTTATCTGGACTAAACATGCTTGTACTATTAAACTGCTTTTTGAGAGTAGAACAACCAAACTCCAACACTCTGGCCATGTTTCAAATGTCACTAACCATGAGCACTAAATAACCTAGTGAGCTGCCTACCTAGACAGCATTTTTGGGCATGATGCCCACAATGTTCTCTAGGTAGGCTGTTCACTGTTTTGAGAAACAACAAAGTAGCAAACTTGAGGCAATATAATACCAGATGTCTGATCACATTTTTCAATACTCATAGTAAGTAAATTCATTCAGTACATGCTTTAGTTCAAAGTGACTTAACCGGGAGTAACCAGGGAAACTGTACCCAGATAGCACACGTCCGTCTGCAAGATGTCTGTTAAAGATCGCTTCATCTGGAAAGCATCTGCTGTGTACAAACATCTGATAGACGTCTCTAAGATGTCAGTTTTACATACATTCTAAATCATAAACATCTTTAAGACATTTTCTAAATGTCTATTTGACATCTGATAGGAAACGTCCTATAGACGTATTTGCAGATGAGCAAATACGTCTCGCAGATGTAAATGCAGACGTCAAATAGACCTCTCCGTAATGTGTGTGCTATCAGTGTAACACTTTTCACATTTTCTTCAGTAACTCACAAACTACTTTAAATCTACCTGCCATTTTTTTTAAGAAATATAAGAAACATACATATGTGGCAACAATAATGCAAATAAAATATGTACACTGAGAATTAATATTGAATGTAACAAGAAGTCAGAGTATTATAATTGCCACAGGCAAGGTTAATGTGCCCCTATTATGCCATTTAGAATATTGCCTTTCATAATAATGTAGCTGTATGTGAATTTAAACTATCTGCAAAGTTATGAAGCCGGCAGTTCACGGTAAATAAAGTTATTGTCTCTCTTTAAAAAAAAAATAGACTCTGAACAGCCTAAACGTCAAGTCTTCTCACTTCCCACTTCCGTGACGGCTACACGTCACTGGGTAACACATGTTCTACGTTGGCTGCCCATGAACAATTTGACCCGCCCTCAAACAGTGTAGCATTTCCATGTGGTTAAGTTGAGAAGACGCTGTGTCCTACGCTGTGAAAGTAAATTTGTTTTATTTTCACTTCCGAATGATGAGGCTGCAAAGAATCAGTAACTGACATTCGGTTTTTCAACTATACCACAACAGTACAATACCCAATCTTTTTTGTGTTCCCGTCATTTTACTGATGACTGCTTCTCTAATCTCGGGGAGTTCAAAATACACTTAATTCTTTAGAAAAGATGCGTCTAATACTCAACTAATGCAGAAACGTATAGCAGCAGTGGTTTTCACCTTTGCTAGGCATTCTTATACAGTTCCCACACATGCACCTAAATAAATGAAGAGTTCATTTGCAAAAACCGACAACTCCATTTTTATTTTATTTTTCAGAAATCACGTTTTTTTATTGCACATTCCAAGTAATATCAATCAAACTGCAGTTGGGTTGTTTTGATTAAGTAATAATAACTTAAACAAATACAGGTAATTTACAAAATGAAAGTTCATTTAAAGTATGTTTTTTTTTTTTACGTTAAAAGTTTGTTTAATAGCAAAAGCAGGTAACTCCAACAGTCGTTTTTTGGCAAAAGCAGATAACTCCACATTTCATGTTTTAGAGTAAAAAAAAAAAAAAACACTTGTTTAATCTTTGTAATCTCCTCAGACGACAGTGCAGATGCCTGACAAAATCCTGAACAAGATATCACAGGTTCATCAAGTTCGTCGAAATTATCCATCCTCGATCACTTTTAGTCAGCTTTGACGAAACTCCTCTCAGCTAGCACGTCTTTTCAAAGTGAAAGTAGCCTTGTCACCTGACCTGAATACAGTGCGCTGATTCGCTAAAATTGACTTATCGGCTTCTTTTCAAAAACAACAAGGGCGCTTGTCGGCTTCTGCAGTAAAACGTGAACTCGCGATGCCTTGAAAGTGGACAAAACCGGCTTTTTTGACAAAACGTGTTTAGGGTTCAGATCGTGCTATATGTGGAGAATAATGCACGGCAATCAGCTCATTTTTTTTAAAGTGCCGTTTATCGGTTTTTGCAAATTAACTCTTCAAATTATAACAATGACGTTGCAATCACATCTTATAAATACCACAAACTAAGTTGACGCTTACCACTGAGAAACATCCTGCTCCAGTCGTGCTTGCGAATCAGTGTCTGGTTGATCAACTAGACGTTTCATCATCAGACATGGGCTCGAATTTACAAGATAAAATTGATAACTATCTTTCTCTCCGGAGCAGTCATTCCGTTATGGCAATGGGTGTTTCGTTTCTGACACGCGCTGTACCTGGTCGACCAATAACAAAGGACTGGGCCGACTGACCAATCAGAGCAGAGTAGGCTCACGGAAAGGAGGGGTTTAGAGAGACTGAATAAACTGCTTCGTATGAACAGTTTACGAATCATTGAGAAATGCGGTGAAATTAAATGTATATTATGAAAATCTAAAGTGTTTTTTGACCTTGCATGCATGTAAACCTGTTGTAGGGGAATCCCAAAACAATATCAGGAACCTTATAAATCGCATAATAGGGGCACTTTAACACTTAAAAAATTATACTAATCGATGTAAATCAAATAAGAGGACACCTCAAATGATAATTTAATAGCGTTCTTGACAATTTTCACTTTTAAATGATACTAATTCTTTTAGCTGTCAGGAATGATGTTTAAAGCAAAAAAAAAGTGCTTATACTTATTTAAAGTAATAAATAGAGTAATAAAATTGTGAGAACACTAGTGAAAATGCTTATTTTCATGCAACAAATATATATACATATTGCATTACAATTATATTATATTATCAACATAAATTGAGCGAAAAGCTTAAAAGTGTGCCTCTCTTTTTTGCTTTAATGGCAACAGCACCTGATGACCCCAGATTGGTTTCAGTGCATCTCTGTTAAAGCCTTCAAGTAGATATTTTAATGAAACAATGTTCATTGCATAAGTTAACATCCCCAACCTGTTAAAGTTTAGAACCCAAACAGGCAGGCAGGCAAATTTACAGGCAGGCCTGTATTTAGTCCCCTTATCAATAAACTAAAAAAGTCATTTTTTGGGAGTAGAACAACCAAACTGAAACACCCTGGTCACGTTTCAAATGTCACTAACTACGAACATTAAATATCCTAGCTGCCTACTTAGACCTATCTGTTAATGTTTAACAGTCAAACAATTTCAATTTCAGACAGCAGAGAAAAATACGGGACATTCGAAATGCAACTTTTCTGCCTAAAAATCAGTTTCACAAAGTAAAACAAATGAGCATGTGCTAAACAAGTGTCAACACTCTAGCTTGCTTAGTGTTACAATTGACCCCCTGAGTATCCTGGAGGTTACAATATCCAGTTGAGTTCATGACTCAAGCCACCCCTGTGGTCATTATCAGAGAAGTTAATTTTACTTATTCATATCAAAAGATCATGTGGGTTTGCAAAGATCTTCCCGTTTCAGAATAACAAATCAGTCTATTTTGTTCCCTACATCATTAATTTAAAGTCAAATTTAAATGCCGCCGCAGTCGTAGTATCGGTTTCTCAGTGCCACAGATTGGTTTCAATACGGCTACCAGAACACAATAACATGCAGGGGAAATATCAGGTGGTAATGTTTCCTATTATCCAATCAGTAAAACATTCAAACTGAGCTTTATAAAAGAAACACCACGCAACACTTGCACCTATAGGCATGATTCGCTTGTATCTCATTCAGGCATTACATAGTCGGGCTAAACCATGCCTTTTTAGACACGACTGAGGGATCCATGCATGCATAAAACTGCATACATGTGCCTCTTTCTTGAAAAAACAAAACAAATAAAATAATGAAACAACTGCACACTCATGCAAAACACCAGCTGCAAGCTCACAGTGCACAATGCATCTTGGTTTCACAAGAAACTTATTGACCAAGTGCAAAACAACCCAGTCTGAGAAACATTCAGCAAAATTGAATACAGGAGCTCTGACAACAACGTATGACTGGTGCATGAAGGTGTATGAAGTGCGGGGAACACAATAAAGACACTTAAAAAAACCTGGAACATAGAAACAGACAATAAAGACACAGACAGGTGCAAATACAATAAAGAGAAATATCTGAATCAAATACAGTGCATATAGAATAATAAATAATAAAATAATAATAATAATATTTGTAAGTCGCTTTGGATAAAAGCGTCTGCTAAATGACTAAAAGTAAAGTAAAGTAAAGAATACAGCACACATAGAATACAGACACAAGCATAAATCACAGATATAGTATCAATCCAAACATGTGAGCTGGATGGGCCGTACCTCCCACTCCTTATCTGAATTTTCTACAGTTTGCTGCTCCTCGTTTGCCTCTGACTCCTCGATTTTCTTCACCACGATGAAGCCAGGATCACGGCTGATGCTTCCTACCCCATCCCCAAAAACATCCGAGCTCCACTGGATGAAGAAAACGTACAGGTGGTCTGACCTACAGAAACAATGACAAACACACTGTTAAAAATGATATTATATGCCATTTTTAATTGCTTATGAGCCAGATGGAATATGCTGAATTTTCCCACATTTTTTGCTCTGATTTTAGGGAAAAAATAGGAATTCTGTGGAATGGATTTAGACATGGTTAAATACGTTAAATGAGTTACATTCTTATTGGTAGCTTAAAAGAATTATCCAAATATAAAGAATATTTCATAAACAAACATGTCTGATCAAATGTGTTCCATTCTGATTTGTTTAGAAGTTTCTAGATAAAAATATTTTTACAAGATTTTACAGCATGAAAATAGTGGCAATACTGTGCATCTGAATTTGATTTGACCTTTTTCATTTATTGCATTAATATATATTTTTTAAATAAAAAAATGAGGTATCTGTAACAAAGTACACAACCATTCAAAGTTTGGGGTTGGCAATTATTATTTTTAAAAATGTTTTTAAAAGAAGTCTATTATGCTCACCATAGTTGCATTTATTTGATCAAAAATACAGTAAAAAGTAACACTGTAAAATATATTACAACTTAAAAGTTTTCTTTTCTAATATATTTAAAAATGTAATTTATTCCTGTGGTGGCAAAGCTGAATTTTCAGCATCATTACTCCAGTCTTCAGTTTCACATGATCCTTCAGAAATCATTCGGATATTCTGATTTGCTGCTTAAGAACCATTTCTTGTTATTTTCAGTGTTGAAAATAGTTACAACATTATAATGTAGCATAACAGCTTAATATTCCTATTGATGAATTGAAAGTTCAAAAGAACAGCATTAATTTGAAATGGAAATCTTTAGTAACATTATACAGTAAATGTCTGTACTGTCACTTTTTGACCAATTTAATGTGTTCTCGCTGAACCCAAATGGTAGTGCATGTAACTTTTGTTTTTAAACAGGCAAAGCCACGGAAAACTCAGTGTGACTTGCATCAGGACGCGACAGGCAGCGTGAGCTTCAAAGCCTCGCCTGTCAGGCCCTGTTCACGCACTATTGTCATGATACTTTACACTGATCATCCGGGTCGCCACCCAACTAGGTCATGTAGCCGGGCCCGGCCATGTCTCAGTGACAACAACAGACAGCAGTTTGGCCACAGAGCTCTGCAGTGCTTCTACAGTACAGTACTACAGCATGTCTGGAGTTCTTTTCCTAACTTGCAGACTATGTCAAAACAAATCTATTCTGACTCTCTCATTCTGATTTAGCGCAGCAAGTGTTTCCTAAAAAATATCTGTGACTCATCTCATACAGTGATAACAGACAGAATAAGTTCCAGTGGGATGAAGAACACTGAATGCTTGTGTTGAATCAGAGGGTAGATGAAATAAGACAAAGACAGTACTGTTTCAGTACTAGAGAGCTGATCGCATAATAAGACCATGTTAAATTTACATCAATTATCATTAAAAATGAAAGTGACTTTCACAAAATTGAATTAGAAATTTAATTATGCTGTGTAATTTCATAGAGAAATGCGTTTTGTGTGAATCTGACAAAAATATAAATAGGTCACATTTCAACCCTTAAAGGCAGAGTAAGTGATTTTTCAAAAACGCTTTAAAAACTGATTCGGACCGAATCGCAAAACAAACTTGTAGCCAATCAGCAATAAGGGGCGTGTCTACTCATGATGTGGAGGAGAGCGCGTTCAGTGCATGGGACGGACATTAGCCGAGCCAGTAATAATAATAAGACGATGAATGGAAGAAGATATATGATATATTTTGTAAAAAATAAAATTTACAAATAATATAATACATAATAAAATTATTTTGCATAAAGAAAAAGCCTAAATAAAATAAAAGAATAAAAAAAAAATATATATATATTTACATGGAACAAACTAGACTTAAAAAACATTATAGATGGATGGATGGATGGATAAAAAGGAGTCATTTGACCAACATGTAAAGTAAATCTAAGTGAGTGGCTCAGCCAGAATAAAGTGCAAAATGGACCAGTTTTTATGCAAATAATGGACACAAACTGTGGATTAGTTTGATTCCACATGTCAGACTCACCTCTCCTGGGGAACAGCAAACCAGTACTCATGTTTACGGTCACGCTGTGCGTACTGCTGCATGGAGGCACTGGCGTTGGACACAAACGTCTTCTTCATGGCCTTGCCAACCCGCAGACACAGAAACTTGTGAGACTTCTGCCTCTCCTTGAACACCATGAGGCCTGAAACACAGAAATATAAGCTCATACTAAAAGCCCACCACAGAAACGGAGCAAAGGTAAACACTTACACCATAATGTAAAGAATTATATGCAGTTGAAATTTGTCTTACAAAAATGACTAATACATGACCAAATTTGAATGGCTGTCTATAAAGTGTGATGCAATAATGCATCATTCATCTCATGGCCTGCATATGAAGGACATGAAGCACATTATCTAAAAAAATAGACATGCAATAATCACTGGAACAAAAACACATTGCCTCAAATGAACTACTCCCTGCCGGGAGCTCATATGCGAAGCTGAATCCAATGCATGTTTTGTTAATAACTGATTAGAAGGTCAACGCAGCGGGAGATGTAGAAAGAAACACCTTACACCAGTGTTGTAGGAGCCAAAGCCCTTTACACAGCCAATGCAACATTAATCTACTTACACTGCAGAACACAGTGGGAGGGCATTCATTTTCAATGGGCTAATTTGGTGTGTAATTCAGATGACTTTTAAAGTGGGTCCTGAGCTGTGGTAATAACCCCCTGTGATTTGTCAGAACAGTTCAATGAACCAAACAGGGATATGTGCCGGGACAGGAGTCGAACTTCATTCTCATGACATGAGGCTGATGAATATTACTGTGTTGAATAAGCAAAATAAATTTATATAGTTTAAAAAGTAATATTTAGGCTTTTGAGTTGTGGTCATTGGTCATGTAGTTGTCAGTAGTCATGAAGTTACCAAAAAGTTGATTAAAGCTGCCTTAAAACTGTGCATGCATGTAATATATTTTATATGAGTCACATTTAAGAACAT